GATAGATAGATAGATAGATAGATAGATAGATAGATATGAACAGAGTGAGGATAGATAGATAGATAGATAGATAGATAGGTAGATAGATAGATAGATAGATAGATAAGAATAGAATTAGGATAGATATATAGATAGGAACAGAATAAGATAGATAGATAGATAGATAGATAGATAGATATTGACAGTCTGAGATACATATGGACAGACTGAGATAGATAGATAGATAGATAGATAGATAGATAGATAGATAGATAGATAGATATGAACAGCCTGAAATACATATGGATAGACTGAGATAGATAGATAGATAGATAGATAGATAGATATGAACAGAGTGAGGATTGATAGATAGGTAGATAGATAGATAGATAGATAGATAGATAGATAGATAGATAGATAGATAGAAAGAAATAATGCAATAGAAATAGATATAGTTGAAGAGGTGAAGATACTGAGTTTCTCTCTAGCATACTTTATTAAGTAATACATGTTATCACAATAAAATTTCTATTATATAATTAAAAATGTTCAGGATGTGTGATAAATATAACCTGCGAATTTCAGCTTAAAATACGTAGTATCTGTTTTTAATAGAGCTATTTACAGTAGATCATATATCATTATACAATTTTATTATGTAATTAAAGCTTTGTTGCTCATGGTGTAAATAAATATATATATATAATAACATAGTCGCACTTATTTTTTCATTTCAGGTACATAAAAATTGCCATGGGTCATAAGAAAAATATAGTCTCAGATGTAAAACAAAATATTTTAAAGTTATTGAATGATCGTATAAGGAATCGTGAAAATGTTCAACAGAGATCAAAAAATGAAATTGATAAACCTGGGAAGATAAGATGAAGAAAAAACTAGCTTTAGGTTTGCCACAGTAATAGGTGTAAGACAAAAATAAAAGGGTACGAAAAATGGATTGATGAGCAATAAATTATTTGAATATTTGCTGGTGCCAATGAAAATACAGAAAAAATTTAAAAATAAAAAAAGAACAACTAGAATGACACCTTTGAGTAAATATCAAAAACAGAAATGTGTAAATTGATTGAAGAAGTACATGAAAACAGATTTTTTGTCCCAACCAAGACAGGAACGCCACTTGTAAGGGAGTTCCAGGGGGTGAAAATGAAAGAAAATACTAGGTACAGGAAGGATTGAGGAAAGGATAAATGATGAACGGGATTCAAGAAGTTAGAAGATGATGATTGACATTGAAGATTTTAGTTATCAGGGAATCAAGTATTTCAAATTAATTTTTAGTAATGGATGTAGAGCTACATTGGTTGAACAAAATGACTGATATAGAGATTTGTTTATTCAGAGTCAATCACTACAACTTTAAGATAACAGGAGGAAGGAGATATAAAGCCAAAGAAGAATCTGCAATCTTATCCGTCTTGACCTGGCATCTTGATTTCAGTCACTTTCCAAGCACTGTAATGTAGATACTCTATGCCTTTTCTGTCAGTATTTTCATGGTAAATGTACTGAAGAACTTTCTGGTATGGTATCAAGACTTTTAATTTAAGCCCAGATTGATGGCTAAGTTTCATCATTTTACAGTTGAAATGGTTAGATGTAAGTTCTGTGTGAGAATTTCTTCTCTCACACTTCTTGCTTGTGGAACTCTCTTCTAACTTCTTGCTTCCCAATCGACTTTGTTTGTCAAAAATTTAAATGCAATGTCAATCGTTATTTTTTGTCTTCGTAATTCTTGTTTTTTATTGTTCTCTCTCCTTAATAATTTTTTTCTCCTATTCTCTAGCATTTAGTAAGTCCTAGCAGTTTAGTGGCTTTATTGCCTTGTTTCAGGTGAAATGATTAAATAACTTGTTTAAGAATAGTTTTTATAGGCAGCAAATACCCTTTCAAAATCGATGATGACATCAAGATAAATGCAAAGAAATATTTTAAGTTCTTGGACAATTTTCAATGGTTCAGGTCACAAACAAGAAGTTTTAACTGAAAGAATATATTCATACAAGATCCTTCATTATCTGTCTATATTTCTGAGATGCGGTATTAGGTACACTATTTACATTATTTGAACTATTGTCCTCATCTTTGTCGCCATATTTGTTACAACGTTTTGGCCATTGTACACTCCAGCCTTTTCCAAGTTCTCCACTGCCTTAACCAGTTAAGGCAGTGGAGAACTTGGAGAGGGGAATTAATAGGAGATAACTGATAAGTGACATCCATTAAATATAACACGTAGAACTAGAACAGTCTACCCCAGTGAGTGAAATAAAGGGTTTGGTTTGACATTCCAACCACCTGAAGAAGGCTGGAGCATACAACGGCTGAAACATTGTAATAAGTATGGTGACAAAGTTGAGGACAATAGTCCGAATAATGTAAATAGTAAAGATCCTTCATATTGCCCACCTTACCAAAATAAATTTCTAAAGATATCAGATTAATGGAATGTTTCCCAAATTCTTTAGATATAAATAAATATAATATTGAAAAATATTCA